ATCACAGATTTCTGAACCTTGCCTCGCAGAATCCAGCATTCCGCATGTGGTTTGTTTTAATTTATTTTTTATTTTTATTGTTTATCTTTTCCTCCTAATAGTACTCGGAGCGGTCCAAGTAATAGCGTTGGGGCGCGCTCTGACCGACGATCGCGGCAATCGCCACTGCTGTCGTGAAGTATGAACACTGCCTAAGGTATGAACGCAGCCTAAGGCGTCACAAGTAGCAACGCCTACAAACGAACAAACGAGAGTCGCTTCTGTTTCTCGACCCATCTGCGAGGCGTGTAGCACGCAGTGTCTTCGGCGTGTTGCCATTCAATAGTAGACCAGCGTATGCTCTACAAAAACGGACTATCTTCTATTTAGTTTTGGTTTTTACAATTGAAATTGTGCTTGTAGAATGTATGGAACTACAGAAACAGGCAAGATACTCTTCAGATGTGCTCCGTATCACATTAAGAGCTTACTCGTAGAATGTACAGTAAACAAAATGCAAACAGCAAAATAAACAAAAAAAATGAAACTCTGAGCAGCGCGAAAAACCCGCTTCATTTGTACCATTTCAAGTGGGCGTTTTGAAACACTCAAGAGTGCATCTTGAACGGATCCGGTCGTGGAACAGAACGGATCCCGTCGTTGAACAGGCAATGGGTGGTTCAGCACCCATTAGCTTCATCTCAGTATGCCTCATTCATTTGGCTCTCTCGCAGAGGTAGTGAGATGATGCAATTTCCACGTAATGTTCGCCCGCGCAAACAGATGTGTTCATAGGTTTAGAATGGCCCACAGCCTCTACGCGAACTTATTAAGGTTGTACTGTCGAGCCATCTACGTATAATTTCAGAAAGTTCATAATCAACTTTGAAAAATACGTTTAGTTTTGTTAATTTTAAGAGCAATGATAAGTTGGAAAATAAAGTCAAGCTGATCTCAATGTAGATTCACTAATTAGCAAGGGGAAAATGCAGAAAAAAAACAATAGAATAAGAATGGGATGCGCAATACGTTGCGTTCATTCTTCGCAACACTCTAGACAAGTTGTTTTTTATTATGAGTCCTGGCGCCAAATAGGATTTCGCCCTGAGCAGCACCAACATGGCATTCATTTTCCGACACCAGCGCCATTTGGCTCTCTGCTAAAATACGGCTGAGCCTGAGAGTAGTAGTGATTCCGTTCAGACCAGGCTCAGCCTTAGTTATGCGCCAATGATCGTAGTGTCCTTCATTAGCGCAAAAAAATCATTTCTATGGTCGCTGAATATTTGTCCGCAGGTATAGTTCGACCTCCTAAACAAAAAATCCCATCTGCATGGGTGCCAATGGAGTTCAAGAGGGTGGAAAGGGGGTGCACATGACAGCACGACCTGCTGCGCTTCTCCGCACCTTTCCCTCAGTGATAGCGATTCCTTTCGCGGCCAGGCTGAGTCTCAGTAATGTAAAGGGCCCTTATCACACTAGCAACCAAAGAGGTCTCCTGTGGGCGTGTTTCTCTGACTGGCCTAGCACTGCATGGCACAAGTCCACGTTGGATGCACCGGGTTTGAAACAAGCATGTGGCGCCGTCGTCTGTAACGCGGGCAGTTAGTGATTTCTTGCCATATGACTGTCATACTTGTGGTGAGGACATCGAACAATCCAAGCAAGCCAGATTACGCCAAATTTGATAGAAAATGCGGTAGTCCCAAACTGGCTCCCTGTGGCGCCAAAAGGCGTCAGCGTCAGAAACGAATGTCATATTTTTGATCATGACACCAAATAACTCCAATATGCAAGTATACAGAGGATTTGGTGAGGAAAATGGTGGCGGCAAACGGCACCAAATAGCGTCGGCCTCAAAACTAGTCCGGTATTCGTGATAAGGGCACCGAATTACCCTCGTGGGTAAAGTTCCACCAAGAAACCTTTCCGAGTTGTCGGGATAGTATAGTTGAATGGTACCTATATTCATGTCCAAGAGGTCGAACTGCTGCTCAGACAAGGTTTCATCAGGATATTCTTCGGTGATTCGGGGCAATTTTGGCGCCAGCGCTTGCGGCGCGGGCGCCAGAAAACTCCAATCCGAGCGAATAGTTCCAGCCGAGTCTGCCGTAGTAAGAAGAAGTCGATAAAAAACTGGCTCCATTTCGGAAGATTGGGGTAGTATTAAACAGTTAGGTAGTAGCGCCTTTTCTTCCAAAAGAGCTCCCAATGGGATGGAAAGTTTTCTTGCCATTTGCTCTGTACAATTATATGATACCTCATCATTTTCCTGACTACCCCTTTGCTATTTCTTTTTATGGTTCTTTCTAGGGAGACCTCCTTTCCAAATCAAGTTTCCTGGAAACAACCATTGGTTTCAACTTCAGTGTCCCATTGAGTGTTAGCGCGGGCGGCGATCGCGATGTCGCGCGGACTTATCCACCCAGGGCACACCATGCGTTGGGGATATTGGTCGTGTACGTACGTCTCCCCCAGAAAGGGGCTCGGTGCGACAACCTCCCGTTTAGTGATTCCTTGTTTTTTGCCTTTTGCAGAAAAGACATTTCTTTTTCAGAAAAGTTTTCCTTGAAGGTACGCCGGAGGAAATGAATGCTAAACTTTCCCGTGACTTGTAGCACCTCTCAGCACTGAATGCTATCCAACTAAAGAGACGGTAGAGGAATGAAACTCGAAACACCTCGTAGGTTCACGACACAGGACACAGGATCTACAGGGGGGGGGCACATAGAATCCACCCGAGGCACATATCAGTAAAGAATACGCAGCCCAGAGAGAGTACCAGGGCGGAAGATATCCGAGATGCCTATCCTGCCCTCAAGTCGTTTCCTGTATCGTCTTGGAAACTTCGTACTGCTAATTGGGTGCCAGCACATGAAACCGAAGAACTCTGCCCATTTGGAATAGGAGGGCGTTGAGTACTGAAGAAGACGGAATATCCAAGTGTGTCACCTGACCTAACCTTCTCGATTACCGGGTCGAGAGGAGCTCAACAGGGTGGTCTACAGTGGCGGAGAAATCAACGACCTCGCTGAACTCAGGCACCGAATCACGGTCGCGTGGCAGAATTTCTCGATGGCCTTAAAGCTTTGGCGGCGGGGTTTCGTGATTGTGTACAATGTGTTGTTGAAGTTGATGGTGGAAATGCCCAGTCAGAAGTTAACGAAATGTAACTTATTTTGCCTTGGAAGCCGAGGAAAAACGTTTTTTTCTTCGCCTCCTCCCCTCCGTACACTGCGGAGGATATTGCTCCTCAACACCACTGTTATGTTCGAACTCGCGCGCGGGAAAAAGTTCAAGTATCAGCTGAGTGCGACATCTTTCCACAATATGTTGCAAACTTGAGTTATTTTCTCGCGCGCACCATTTTCGAATGCGCGATCCTGCTTTCTTTGCTCACGTTTGAGCGCATACACCCTTAGGTGAAGCAGTTCTTTTTTTGAAGGAGCGATAATTTCTTTAAAAGGAGACGGTAGGGGAAAAAAGGAAGCAATTTGAAGCAGTTACATTAAGGGTTCACGAGAAGCATTGAAACGCGTATAAGCGCTGCCTGATTTTGAGAAATATGCAGCTTTGGGGATTCGTTGAGAATTCTTGGAGCTAGATGCAGATCTTGTGCATTGAATGAGTAACTTTCCCCTAATGCAACCGCTTGCAAATACAAGAACCCTTCTGGAGATTCCCTTTCCTCTCTCCAAAACAACTTAACTTATCTTTGAAGTGCGCGGCGTTTACCAGATAAATGCGTTAAAGATTTATGGGGGAGAATTTCGAGCTACGCCAAAAACCTGTTCCGTGTGTACCGTTTCAAGTAGGCTTATTGGAATACACAAGAATGTATTTGGAATGGATTCCTTCAAGGCACAGAAGTGGGCAGTGGTGTCGCGGATCGCGACTCTGGTCGCCGAGCGGCCGTGCGCCTGGGCTCTGTGGTGCTCTAATGCCAGAGCCGCGCCGCGAGCGAGGGAAGCCGCGACGCGGGCCACGCCCCCAGGCGGCGCCTTATAAGGCG